TAGATGCTTGAGTCTTCTTGATTATACTGTATCTTTCTTAGATAAGATTGAACTGTGGCCTACTGTAGACCTGTTCAAGGCATACTGCCCAGCAACAACAGACATCAGACATCTTCTGCCCACTCTCTACCTTTGCTATTATACTCTCACCTTTCGAAAATAAAAACCCACGCAAAACTTCAGGTGTGCCCGCCCGACAGTCTCGCGAATACTATAAAAGAATTGTTTCCGTCAGAAAAATAAAGGGCTAGAATTACAAGGGAGAATTTCAAAGTTCGGAAGAATACTATCCGATCAGTATATGCCGAATTGAGCGTCGATGTGGACGTCTCCCGCGCTCCGAAAAGTTTCGAATTGTTGACCGAAGATAAGAGTAGACTAATCGGTATTCATTATTTTACGTCGCTTCTTCTTGTGTTTGTTCTGAGGTGTTCGTGATCCAAACATAAAATTTTTTTCGAAAGTGTTCGTTATCCGATTTGTTCGTTAATCGATCACCCACTGTATTGTGAAGGTCCGAAACCCTTTTTCTGTTTTAGATCAGTATAAATCTAGGAATTTTCCTAGTAAAAGAGAAAAGGGGGACTTCTACGGTCAATGACGGAGACGCTCTCCTCGAATAAGAAAAAAAAGGAGAATGTTAAAATATCAATAAGAGAAATCATCTCTATTTGTTTAAATTAACACCTTATCGACTTATCCGCGACCTCCCACTCGATTTTCGCCCTCCTAAATTGCCATCCACTGACCCTGTGAGCGGGACTCACCGCCCCGTTGTCGGAAAACGGTTTAAGCTTTGATGCTAAAACCCCGATTCTCACAGTATTCATGAATATGAATTTCAAATAAACACAGAAATTGAGTATGAGTAGAGCGTCTATTATCCGAAAATCAATTATCCGAAACAATTCAAGTCGGCAAATTTAAATTTTTGCCAGTGCTGTGACGCTGCAATCTTTGGTTATGTCTTGAGCTACTCAAATATTTTGTTTTTGATACTAAATTAACTTCTGAAGTATAATTTTTTATTGTTTTTATATTTTTCAATATATTTATTTTGTTCGTATAAAATAAAAAAATAATTTTTAACGATACAATAGTCTTCGTTAGGCTTAACATCGACGAAAATTCAACGCTAAGTGACACGCAACAAAGAAAAATTTCAACATGGGATAGGTTAATATATTTTTTCGCGCATAATCGGTTATCCGAAATATCGATTTTTCCGAACCCCAGTCCCCAATTGATTCGGATAATCGACGCTCTACTGTATATTAACATCAAAAGCAACCAACCATTGAAATAGTACATTATAAAGGAAAATAATACATGTTTTAAAGGAGCTTCAGTACGTTTTGAAATTTAATTGTTGTGGCAACACTGATCAGCGCTCCCACAAGGTGGCACTGATTGGGGGCTAACTTGGCCTATAAAACAAGGAATGGGATTTTGGTCAGCATACCACGAAGTTGCAACGAAAAGACAAGTCATCTTGGTATCAACACTGTAGTAATTATAATTGTAAAATTGATAGAAATTTGATGCATGCTGGGAAAGATTTATTTGTATAAAAAGGGACGAGTTGCTTGCTGTTGGATAATCCACTGATGAGGCTGTAACGGCGAAATGCATTTGGAGAGTTCTTTGAGAAGTTTGAAAATAATAAAAGAAATAGCGTTGGCTGAAGTATAGTATCTTTGTCAATTATTTGTCTGCTAATATAAATTGCTCGAAATCGGTTTAAGAAAGAGTGTTCATTTTACTCGTTTATCTTATCTAAAGATGATCTTTTATTTTTAGAAATTATATTTTTTATAAATTTCACCGATCCCATCGTTTTATATTTTTATTGATCAACGAATAAATTAATATTTTAAACTAAATTAATTTTCTAAACATTTTAAATATTAAAATGTCTCCTAACATAATACCGGTTCTCACACCTATCCCTCCTTTTACGTGGTTCAATTTACGCGATTATCAAATAATGTGGTTAACAAAAGAAAATAAATCCTTCTTTTACGTGATTGATTCTTTAACACGGGAAAAACAGTTTATTTGAAAATTTTTAAATTTAACTTTTCGTTAAAATTGTTATTGTTAAAATAACTTTTTAAACAATGTGTGTTTTTGTGGGAAAGGAAGATCTAGAGGTCTTGGAGACCAACAACGAGATGAGTTTGACTATACTGTAAATGAAATCCACTTGCATTGGAAGTTGGGTCCCCCGTTTTGTTCACATGGAGAACTGCACATCTTTTAATAAGTTATCTTGTACAAACTTGCTTTCTCTTCTTTCTTTAACTTATCTTAGCCATTCCTCAATACACTGTAAATATTGGCATTATTTTGAAAATTAGTTTAGAGAATTTATGGACTGCCATTTCTTTCATAATAATCTTCAGGATCTTGCTAAAAGTGAACTTTGTGATTGTATTGAGTCTTCCGTTTTGAGTTCCTTCATATCTTATAATGTTTCGCCATGTCGCCATATTAACAACCTAATCCACACTCAGCAGAAAGAATAATTACTAAAATCATCTGCTAAGTGTAGGTTCGATTGGCTTTTAATGAGTGCCGATTTCATAGATTTGTCATTTTTTATTCACATCTGAATTTTAATTATTTACATTAGACAATACCAATTTTAACTTAAACAGGGGTCATGCTGCCTGCCTTGCAGCAAAATTTGCAAAAATTTTATTCATCTGCAGAATGAATTTCATTTTACCTTAAATAGGATGAAAGTCGTTTAAGCTCTGGGATGATGATGATGATTTAATTTTTATACGTCAATCGATATATAATTTTCAAGTTTTTTTTCTAATTATTTTTTATTCACATGGATTTCATCCGAATTCCGTTTCGAATAACCTTCTGGAAGGATAGGAATTTCAATTCATTTTATCTTCATGTTAAAATTTGTATTGTCTAATTAATAAACATTAAATTTGCTTAATTGTCACTGAATTTCAAATAATTTTGGAATGATCTAAATTTCCATTTACTAACAAAAAAGTTGAAATTTTAATTTATATTTCATAAAAGATGTTTAATACGAAATATATAGTTCCTACATTTTTTAAGTGGATCTGAATTTCAGTGGAATTTCGATTTTCATTCCAGATAATCTTTGGGATGATAAAAATGTCGAAATTTCTGTTGGCTAATCTAAACTATCATTTTGAAGACTATGATTAACACTTTCACTTAATAAATCTTTCAATACGCAATTTATGTTTTGTAATTTTTAAATTTCACGCGAATTTCATCGAATATAACTTTTGAGATACGTAAAAAAATTAAAATTATCATTAAGCCATTATACTTCGAGATTGAATAATTGCTGTTCGTGAAGGATTTTCAATTAGTACGAATTGGAGCATTTGTGTCACTTGCAATTGAATTTCATGCGATTTTACTTCTCAAATAAGTTCTAGGATTTAATAAAATTTCAGTTTCTACTAACAAAAAAAAAAAATTAAATTTGCAGATTCAATATTCATATTTAGTACTAATTTCATAGCTTTTAATTTTTTAACGCCGAATTTCCAGGAGTCACTCTGGAAAATTTAAAATATCGCCACCATTTCGCCAGTTTTTAATTTTTTTTCGCCACCTCAAATTATTTATTGCCATCAGTTTTACTTATTGATTAATGCAGGTGCTGGTAGCCTTTTCAGTTTGGCGTCTGAAAACCAAAAGTAACATGTTAAGCTGTCAGTTATAAGATGTCCAGCTGTTTGGGTCTCCAATTCTAACGAAATATGGTGAGCATGAAGTCTTAAACACAAATAGCTCCTCGTCCAAATAATAGAACCCACTTGCCAAGAGTTTCCAAAAATTGGACCTCTAAAATTTAGTGTTTAATTTATAAGTCTTTGGAAGTTTCACGTCCCAGGGTGGCGATTAGCCAAATGCATAGGAGGCTAGGCACTGGAGGTAGAGACGATGTACTGTACTGTACGTTCGAACTTCGTCATTTTAGTTTAGTTTTTTGCGTAAGAGCGAGTCTCCACTAGCGTAAAAACAGGCGTAAAACCCCTCACCGTAAAAACTTTTAATCACGTAACCATGATATTTTTTACGCCTGAGCAGGTCGTAAAACCAGCGTAAAAGCGAGTTGAGCAGTGTTCAACTTTCGACGCGAATACGGCCGTAAAACGGTACCATCCACCAATCAGAAGTCAGTGAAATCTAGGTCATTGTGACACTGCGAAAATGGCGGAAAACGAGCTTTTGTGTTCGTTCTCTCATGGCTACTCTAAAATAGATCTAGAAAGATTTATCGAAAACATCCGAAAGTAATTCGTATCTACGACAAGAAGTATCCCGATTATAATAATGGATGCCTAAAACACGCGATATGGACAGCCAAAGGAAAAGCCTTCAATTTATAGTAGTATATAATGAAAAAAGCTAAGTTTATAAGTGCTGTATATTATCTTATCTTTTATTATAATTAATATATGAAAGTAAAGTTATTATTTTTACTACATTTGTAATTACAGTACAGAAAAAACTCGTAGAATATAATCATTGTCTTTATAACTTCGATAGTATCGTCGTCGTAATAACTTCGCTAGCCAGACCTCCGCCGCAATCCAGACGCAAACGGGTCACGTGATTAAAAGTTTTTACGGCGAAGGTTTTTACGCCCGTTTTTACGCTAGTGGAGTCCTGGCCTATCATCATGATTTTACTACATCATTAGTATTATTATTAGATGCCATTATTATTCTGACGTTTAAAGCTTATACAAGAAATTAAAAATTGTGACAACCTTAAAACGAGAGGAATAATAATAATAAAATAAAGTTACATATAAAAAAAAACTAAGCTAAACTAAAACTCCGAAGGTTCAAACGTACATTGTCTAGCTCCAGTACCTAGCGTCTTATTCACTCAGCTATCGCCACTATGGGACGGGAAAGTAGAGTCGGAGTGCAAGTTACTCGCGCGCCGCCCTGGTGGCAAATATTTGCATAACACATAGGAGAAAAATCTAAAGGGTTTCTTGTCCACTTGAACCGTTAACAGAGAAAAAGTTTCTTGTTACAGAAAATCAAGTAATTGGTAAGTTTAAATTGAAAANCCGAATGCAAGTTACTCGCGCGCCACCTGGTGGCAAATATTTACATAACACATAGGAGAAAAATCCAAAGGGTTTCTTCTCCTTTTGAACCGTTAACAGAGAAAAAGTTTCTTGTTACAGAAAATCAAGTAATTGGTAAGTTTAAATTGAAAATTTTTATAAATTTTAAATGTTTTAATAAAATATACAATTAAAAAACGGAACTTTTATTAACTGGAATGTAATTTTTCTCTTTTAGTCAATAATGCCTGATATAATTGTAACATGTGGCTATCAACCAGTCCATAATGACAACTTTTTTACACCTTCGAGATGGAAAAAAGGAATTTTACTCGCAAAGGCTAAGCATATAGCTGCAATCAAAGAAATAAAAAATGATGGAGGAAGTACAGTTACAGCTACTTGCCTACCCCAAATGAAAATTAATGAGAAACCATATTATATTTGTATTAAGGTATTTTTTACATTTAAATAATTTTATATGTCAGCATAACATCTCTGCAATGAACAAACAGGATGATTTGCATGACAACAAAACAACATTGTATATCACTGCTTTTATTAAGCTATATACTGTTGAATTTTTCTTTAATAAAAATATTTCATATCATGCTTTATGAATTATTTTTAATACAAATTAATTTTCAGTTATCAGCAGATAGAAAAATAATTACAGCAACGTGTAAGTGCAAGGCAGGTATCCACGGTCAGTGCAAACATGTAGCAGCTACGATTTTTGCTTTAAATAATTATAAAGACGAAAGCGTTACCAGTGGAAAACAACAATGGGGAATTCCACAACATAAGAAGATATACACATCAGGTGGATGTCGCCTTAGTAATTGTGTAACTCCAAAAAAAATAAAAATACCAACATCGTTATCATCAAATGAACCATTTTCGTTATATCAAAAAGTAAAACACATTAATTGTGCTCTTTCTTCAATGTTAAGAGTTGAATTTGATGAAGGAACACAGTGTCAAGTGCTACTATCTGATTTAATCGACACAGTTCATGAACAATGTGAGGAATTAGATTTAAAATCTTTAATTACACAATTATTTGAAAGTAAACGTATAGATTGTTATAAAATTGTTGAAAACCTTCCTACAAAAATAAAACTAAAGAAACTTAATTCATTTACAAATGTTAACATTTCACAAAAATTGTTAAAATTTTATAACGATAATGTGATTGTCAAACTTCAAAAAATTATTCAAATAGCATTTCTCACGAGAAAACAAAGCACATGTCCAGACTGGTTCATTTACAAACGATACAGATTAAGCAGCTCTATGGCTCATTCTGTAAAAACAAGAAAAAACAATTTTGAAAAGTTGGCTTTTAGATTTTTAAATAATACATTTAAAGGAACAATTGCAACTGATTACGGAATTAAAATGGAGCAAATTGCAAAAAATTCGTTTTCGCTTAAAAAAAATATTAGAATAATTGATGCAGGAGTTATCATTTGTAATGAAGCTCCCTGGATTTGTGCAAGCCCTGATGGTATATGTAAAAAAGGAAATAAAATAAGCTTACT